AAGCTGTATTTTATCTCGACGAAAAATATGCCAAGTCGCTCGGACTTGCTGCGAATTTCACAGAATCAACTCTCCACGATCTTCGTGTACACTTCTTCTTCACGGCGTACTGGACTGGTCTATGGTCGAATACTAGCCAATAGTGAACGCTGGGTCACAAGTTGAGTGATGGTGTTTGCGAATAGTACGTTTAGTAGATTATGTTGACCATAAGTGGAGCAAAGCAAATTCTTTACAGAACTTGAGTTTTCGTAACATAAGTTCAACGATTTTTAAGCGCTGTTCAAGCGTAAGTCTCTCCAGTACAGAATGCCAAACAATAACATAATAACCTGGCACGACTCAGCCGCGATCTGTTAAAACAGGAAAATTGAAAAAAATTTCTCTGCTTGGATCACCCGTTGTTTGGTGTCTCATGAAACAAAATCTTAAATGAAGACTGGGAGTCTGGTTTCCAATGCAATGCAATTCGGATAAAATAATTTTAATTGTAAGTTTTGAAGTAATGCCCGCATATGTACAATTTTAAATTTCTTAAGCAATGATATACAGTAAAAAAAAAACAGTTACTTTTCCACAAAAATACATATTTTTACTTTAAAATTGTTTAAGTACATAAATATTTAGTTGAAATGCTAGCAGTATAAATTTCTTAATATAAATGTATATAGAAATATCTTTAAGTCAAAAAAGTACAAAATATCAAAGGACATCAGCGTATTTTCCATAGATAATCACGTTATATAACTGTATATATTTATATATATCTAATATGGAATTAGCAGCTTACAATGTTGCATTATGCTTCTTCACTGCCGCTTTGACATCATCATACGATATTATTGACTGTTGCAAGCGAAAAAAATATTGAAGAAAAATATATTATATAATTTCACAAAAATATTTGTATTAAGTTAACAGATTTATACAAATATGCATGCATAATATATAACGCTTTTTGCACGATACAATTAATTTAAATAACGCATACAAAAACAACAAAACAATGCAAATATTATGGAATATGATATCCTAACAGGCTGCCATGGGAAGAAATCACGAGCAAACAAAACAGAATAATGAAGATAAAAGCACAAATGAAGCGCACAACCACACTAAATATACATTCGTGTATTTATGAGATGAAAATGCTGAAATGCATTAATTTGGAAACGCGTAAATTTAAGCGTGAAATTGCGAATATTGCAGCGCAGTAAAAAGCAAGCGTTGTTAGATATTTAAGCAGACGCTCAGTTTTTTCAATTCTTTTCCCGAACTGTCGCCGACACTTTTTCTGTCGCTGCACTAGCTTGTATTTACCTTTTACTACACGGGTTCTCACACCTCAATAATCAACTATTTTTCCACGCTTTAGCATAATAAACGTGAATAATTTTCAGCGAATAATAGAAAAATTATTTGATAGTATTTTTATTATTTTTTATCTTTCGGTCGCTTAAAGTTATAACAACAATATTTGTCTAGCTACGTTTATTAAATATAATATAAAATGTATTTAACAAAAATTTCCAGTTTTTGTTTTTGCGCATGAAACATTAAATTTCTGTTACAATGACAACTTTTTAACAAAACGCTCATTTACAAAATGCCTACATTTTCAGTTTAATTTGTTGCATTCGTTAATTATTATGTAAAATTGCCTGGTTTATCTTTAAATCAAATTTGTGTACAAAAATAATTCAATTTATTTACGAATGCGTTTATGGCATTAAAATTTAATGCATCTGCATAAATATATAAGCAGCTCGCAAATGTTTTTTGGCAGCTAAAATTTATTCACTTAGTTGTAAATGTCACAATTTATCAGAGAATGACTTAACTAAGAAGTAAGTAAATAAAAATTGCGTTGAAAGCTATAATACTTTTCTGAAATTCAAGTCTTCTTTCCAAGAACTTGATTTTGATCAATCAATTTTTATGCCACAGCCTTGATCTGTACAATTTACGCCAAATTTGGTGCAGAAATCTCTTTAAGAAGTTTTCCATACAAGCACTTGCTTCCGATTGTTCAGTTTGTGTGACAGCTATATTCTATAGTAGCTCGAAAGGATTTTTTCAAAATTTCTGATCGATATATCAGAAATTGAGAAACTCGTTCGCATATGCACATACGCACAGATGGACATGTCTAAATCGACTCAGCTCGTGACAATGATCATTTTTATATGTGACCTGGTCTACGAAAAGGGAGCTAACGTGCGAAAACTAGTTTTCTGGGAAACAGCTGTTAAAGCATCTCATCTTCCATCCGAATCAACTAAAAAGTGAAAATTGATTTTTTGACACCTAAGCCCCCTTTCAGCGTTTAAAAAGTGTATACTCACTCAGTAAACGCACAGAAATTATCGTCTCGTTTGCTTCAAAATATCTCAAGGTGACGCAACGGTGTATATTAAGGGGTACTTTTTTTTAAATGCATCAGTGAAGGACCTTTTAACTCGAAGAAAAAAATGTCTTTTAAATTTTTTCTGTCTCCCATAACATACGTATGCAACGGGAGATCCAAGTAGAGGTACTTTTTTTAATAGCATTTTTTGATAGATCACTGTGAAGTGAAGAAAATAAAGCCGCAGTAGCTGGGAGTGTTCACGACGCTCAAAGAAAGTCGATTCGGTGCCGTTCGCGGCAACTCAGACTGACGTATGAAATGTCGAGATCTTAAATGGAAAGCGTACAAAATACAGCTTGTGTGAGGACTGAAGCCGCTCGACTTTCCCAAGGCACATCGCTTTGCTCTATAGGCTCTTGAAAATTTCCAAGAAGGTCCAACGTTTTTCGGCCAAATTTTATTCAGCGATACGGCCCATTTCTGGTATTGGCCCCTGGCCATTTGCTAAACAAGCAAAATTTCTACACTTGGAACGAAAAGCAACCTGAAGAGATTCAAGAACTGCAACTTCATTCGGGAAAAACAACTTGGTGTGCTTTATGAGCCAGTGAAAACATCAAAAATAATGCCGGTGAGAGCGTAAGCGTCAATGGCGACCATTATCGCATCATGATAACCGACTATTTGATGCCTGAAATTGAACCTCGTGATCTTGCCGAAATTTGCTTTCAACAAGACGGCGCAAATTCCTACACATTGCATCTATCAACGAATTTATTGAAAGAACACTTAGGTGATGCGATAATTCCATTTTGGACCGGTTGTTTGTACACCAATATCACACCGTTAAACTTTGTCCTATGGGAATATGTAAAATCTATACGGACAATTCCGCTTCGATTTAGGCCTTGGAGCAAGACATTACGCGTGTCATTCGCCAGTTACCAGTCGAAATGTTCGAAAGAGTCATCCAAAATTAGACTCAGTAGCTGGACCTTCCGAGATGTAGCCACACCCAATATTTGGAAGAGATAATTAAAAACAATAGATACCAAATTATAGACAGAGACCCGTAGAAGTTTGTTTGCGCAAAAGTTTTATCCAAATACTTCAAATACAATTTTGTAATTACAAAAAATTATCAAGAAAAAAGTTATGTTACAGTCTAATCACGTAAAAAAATTTATATGTTATAATATTACTCATACGACATGTACGACATGTTTACGCTACTCTCACAGTTAAACACAAATTGATTAACCTATTATAAAATCATGCTCACTATTCGAAGCAAGCATTTTATTTTTCTTAATGAGTTCAATAAAATCATGAAAAATTAAAAATAGCAATGTATCGACTAGCATTGTTTTATAGAATATTATTGTAATAATATTATTTACAAATATACTTGCCTGATAGCTTTGTAATGTATAGTACATGCCATTATATGCGTAAAATAAGGTATAATAATAACAACTTACCTGTAACCACAATTTTATTTGAGGAAATTGGTTTGCACATATTTAGTAGCGATGGAATTTAAAGGCACAGCTTTAAAAGCAAATGTTTGACTATATGGCGCATTCTATAACAATTGGGTGTAGAGAAAAATATAAACGGAAACTCGCTAAAAATCACTCCATCGCAAACCATAAGGAGAGTTTTGGGGGTATGGATTACTTCATTCCATTTCTATTTATTTTAAATAAAATTTTCAAATAGACGGCAACTCTAGACAAATCTAGTTTTTGTTTTAGTTTTTTTTTTACGTTATTATATTATTATATTTTCATGTTTTAGTATTCTTTATTCAATTAAATTATTAAAAAGGGTTGCCACCAACTACAATAATAAAAAAGAAACCAGGTGATAACCCTCTTCAAATAATATTATAGTTTCTATTGCAAGCTATTTTTATCCCTTCATTTCCTTATCATTATAATCTTTTTTTTTACTTTCAATTCTCAAACATATGGCAACCTTTTAAAAAATTTGTTTTGAATTTTCTTAGTCATAAGTTTGTTAAGTCAGTTTCATCATTATATTGCTAGCGTGACGAAATTTTGTTGCGTAACTACATTTCGTTGCGCACTTTCATTTCGAAAATTTAAAACAAAATAGCTGAACTCTTCACAGAACAGAAAACTATTATTTATTAAAAAAAAGTCAAGTCTTTTAACTACTCTTTCTGTTATAACAAAAATTATTCTCATATACGTCGAACTGGAATGCGCCATATAAGCACACACGCATATGCATCAGCAGTTTAACGCACTAGCTCCTGTACACTTAGTCTACACATACTTTATTTAATACTTTCTCTATGCTTATTTTGAAGACCATACACATATACTTACGTGTTCATGTTTATGTGTAGTAAACAAAGTATTATTTGCGTAAATTTAGAAGCAAAACAAGCGAAGGAGATTAATAATGCCAACACTCATGTTAATAGCTTCATAAATTTACAAGCACTTACACTTAAACATAAATAGTGCCAAAGAAGTAAAAACTAAAATGCTCAAAAGCAAAAAAGAGAAGCGAAAAGAGAGCATAAAGTCACCCTCTTTAATAACTGTAAACAAATACTTGCGGTATTTGGTAATTAACTCTAAAATACCGGTTCTAAATATTTCACAATACTTAATTATTATTTTTCTAACTTTTATTATTACTCATTTTCTTATAATCCTATATAATCATCAAAGATCTAAATATCTACTCCTTCAAGTTCCCTGACTTCTGGCAAAATTTCTGTGCGTCGCATTCTCCAACGTTTACGCTCATCGAGTGACACAACATCAACACCATCACTATCCGCTTCCTCATCCTGTGCCGTACCCGAATGCTTACCTGAAACTAATCTTCTCTTCACAGCGTAATTTGTCTCCACAATTAATTTCAGCTTATTATTAGGCTCTGTGGAGGGGTAAAGTAACGCCGCAGTCGATACAGTCATACCCAACAACATTTTCTTTAATAAATTGGTATTAGAGAGCGTCGCCAACTTCTCGGCATATTGCAGGTTATGTTTAAATTTCAATTTGGTTGTGAGTAGAAGCCCTAAATAACCGATTTGCGCTTTAGCTTCGACCAACATATTGCCCTGTTTGATACGCTCTTGCTCGACTTTCTTTATACGCGACTTCAACACGGCGTCGGTTTTGTTTTCGCCCAGCTGTAGACCAATTGAACTCAGCCAATCTTGTATTAACACCACTTCGGCATTGCTGGCGCTGGCAACATCCGTTAAATGTCTCTTGATCACCGCTAGCGCAATATCATCGGCAGCGCCAACTATTTTCGCCACTCTCGGGTTTTGCTGTCGTGCGATGGCTTCGCATATGGCGCTCCAGTGAGTCTGATTGTGCATCGCGGCTTCTATGCCTTGAAGATCTTCAACGGCGTCTGGGAAACCTTTCACGTTGCCAAGACTATGTGGTTCGGTTATATTAATTATTGTAAATAATTTTTGTGACGCATTCATTCAAAATATGTACCTTGCATTTTTCTCATTTTGTTGTAAGGCAGCTATTATTTGCTCCCAGTCTGCTTTATTATAGGCGTTTTTCACATCTAATGTCACAACACGATAGTATTCTTGAAAGCCATTTCTAATCCTTTTGCCTTCAATGGATTTCTCCGACATACTCTCTACGACGTCGGTGGGAAGTGGGCTTACGTGATTTCTTGAACTGTCTAAGGTTTCTTTACTCTCATTCCTTTCTTCGTTTTCGTCCTATCTCACATGTATATGTATAGTTGTTAGTTTGTATTAGTGTTCAACATGAAAGTACGCAAATGGTACTCAATAAAAACAATAAATATGATATAACTGAACATTAAGGATAATATATACAATATGGAGTACAGATATTCAACTTTCAGGACACACTAACCTATAATCTCAGTATTTGTCACCTAATTTAGTCTAACAAAAGAGGACATATCGAGTAAACTTCTTCATCAAATATCAAAGCCGTTTTCCCAACAACTTGCATCGAGGTTTCACTACGTCTTCTTCTTTTTTTCGAAAGCATTTAACTCTTGTGGAGTTATCTGAGCCATGCAAATGTTACTTTAAGCCTTTGATTGACCTAGTCTTGATATAATGCTTTTCTGGTGGCTAACTATTGAGGAGTAAGTAAAGAAGGCACAGGTTACCTTGATTTATGGTGTATTCATGTTGATATTGCCTTTCAAGTACATCCCGAAAAACTTGAATCATTTCGTAGCAGAGGATTCACCTAATGAGCTCTTCTTTGCTCACATACCAACGGAGGATACGTGGACAGTTAGAAGTCGCTGCAGAAGAGGCGCAATGAGCTTTCTCACGGATAGGCCAAAGCTAGAAGGGAAGGCTGAATTGCGAAATTTCTCTTTATTTAGCTTTAAGCTACCATACTAGTTTATTGCTTTTCAGGTTTTCTAAGCATAGTCGATATTTCTTCCCAAATCAACCCAAATTTCATCTTTAATCGGCATGTCACCACTTTTGAAGTCATTTCTAGGCATTAATAGTTGCTTGCGAAATTACCACCAATATTTTGGATACTCGATACTCTATATTCCAGAAAAAACTCTAATATTGTTCTCTTAAATATTTCTCAATCGAACAAACTTTCTAATGGAATTTCAATTTCGAAAGAATGAATGTAGCACAGCTTAGATAAAGTCATATTATAATTAGCTGAAGGGTGAATGTGAATATATTACTGAAGATGAAGTCTCAGCTGTGGACCTAAAGGACCCTAAACATAGATATTTAATCAGGAAATTGGCAATGAATGAAAAAAACTGGTCTAAGCTTTATTGAGCTTATATAACATGTTGACAGAAGTAATCACGATTTTTACAGTAATCAGAACAAGTATTTATCATAAATTCCAAGCAAAAAACCAATATAAAGTAAATATTTTCAAACAATTGGCAGCATTTGCAACTAAAAAATCATTCGCAAGACTGAAATGGAAGCTTTATAATACTTACGTTTGTGAATTCCCAAATCTCAGTACTTTCAAATGTAAACTATTTAAAATATTTAGAATAAATACAAAGCCGAAATACATATAATTTACAAAAACAATAACAACAGCACAAAGCCAATTAATAAAGCAGCCTTAAAATAAGCACATTCATTCAAGTCCACTGACCTTCCAGTAGTCATTGTCCCAGGAGGGAAACATGCGTGTAAATACGCGCGGCTCATTGCCTTGAACAATACGAATTACGCTGACAGTGTCGACAGTACGATCGGTAGGCTCTTGTTTGATGTATTTCTAGAGAACAAAAAGCAGTGGTAAATAGTGCTAAAAAAAATCGTGATTGCTTTGTAAGTTACCCGTGCCATTTGCAAAATTTTGGCATTTTCCTCTACAGATGCGCCGGAGCCAACCCACATGTAGATTTCATCACCGGCATCCAACAACATCACATCATCAACATCGAGATCCTGGAAAAAAATTATATTATATTACAGAACTTTTGCGTTAGCCAAACATCACTTGGATTACTCACCGACTGCTCGAATTCGCGGACCTCCTCCACCTTAGTACGCCAGGCCACCAATTGACAGTGGAACAGACGTGGTTCCAGCAATGGAGCACCCAAATCGTTAACGCTGCGGTCATACTCACCCTCACCATGCAATTCTTCCCAGAATTCCGAGGGTTCAGAACCTTCTTCAATCACCTCCGTCTTGCCATGTGGCCAGTAGTGAGCAAAACGCTCATTTGCAGAAGATTTTTCAAAATCGGAAGCACCCTTTTGAATGTAGCGTATTACTCATTTGTATAACACACATTCAATATAACAAACTCACCTGACCAATCCATATGTAGACTTTATGATCGAGCGTTATTAGCGCAAAGACATCACCAGAGGCTAATGATGAGGCGTCACAGTTCACTTCGGTCGCATGTACATCGGTCGCGTCGGTACCACGTACCCGGAAGAGTTGTGCACTCTTCGGCTCCTCGGTGAATGGCGTAATCAGTTTACCCTTGAAGATTTTCAAGAAATGGCGTGGTTCATGACTTTGGCCTGTACGCACCAATATGGCATTCTCCTCCTGTGCCATAGCCAAACCGTCATTGAAGGAGCGCTCCTTCACGGCATCACTAGCTCTAGCACCTTCCCACACATAAATAAGTTTGCCAGACTCACCACTCTTAGCGCTATACTTGTAGGTAATAATGTAGGCATATTGACCGATCAGCGGTGTGGTACCTTCGAAGTCAACAATACTGCGCACCACATCATCTGCCGATTCTGAGCTGAACTTGATAATATGTTCGATATCGCGTTCGCCAAAGTCGGGCATAAAAGCAATTGCGCGTCCACCACTCTTCTTCAGATTCTGCACAACTATATCCACATCCTCAGGTTCCTCATAATCGGAGTCGTCTGTGCTGTAACCCAATGCGGTGCGTACCAAACGCTTATGATATACGCCTTGATCATGCCAAGTGGAAAAGTATTGTTTGAAGGGCGCTGGTTCGCCATCCTCCACGACACGATGTACCTGTGTCCAGGTTGGATACGAATTAGTCTCTAAAAAATGCTCAGCTGCTTTCAATGCACTGGTCTTTTCCTTTTGCGTGGAATTACGTCCAACCCAAACATAAATGCCGGAGTCGGTGTCAAGTATGAAACTGTCATCCGTATTAAGCATTTCTTGTCGTAGTGGCTTTTCGGATATCTTTTCAATTTCCAAAGACCCGCTAGCATCACTAACTTTATACAGTGTAACTGCTTTGATATCGGCCGTCTCGAAAGCGCCATCCTCTTCGTCTGTGCTCTCATCTGGTACTTCGTCAGCCGAACCCGAACCGAGTGTAGTGAAGAAATGTTCCTTCGCAAAATCAGAGGAGAAGTTGTCTACATGCGAAAAAATTTAAGTAATATAGGGTATAATTTGAGATGGGTTTGAGAGCGAAGTCTTGCCAACTTATATATATTTTTATAATTTTTTGCATCTTAAATGCATCTTAGTGCTATTCTACTTAAAGTCCTACTAACACCTGAACTAACAAATATACATGTAACACGAAGCTTCCTTTTCATTTAAAAAAGATTATAACCAGTAGGTAAATTAGGTTATGTTAATCTGGTAGCCACGCTTAGACCAGTTTTGGTCCTCTGCGATACCAGATGGAGTTAATCGATAAGTATAATAATATTCCAACAAAAAGGTTTCCAGACAGCCCTGAAATGGACAACACTGCAATCTTCCTTACTTAAACTTCGCTGTTCTTCATGAGACGTATTGCTTACCAACTTACAAATTACTGACGCACTAAGTTGTCTTTGACTTGTACGATAATTTTCGACTACTCACCAATAATATTCACCTTCGAACGTCCATGATGGTCTTGATCACGTATTTCATTTGCAGCGTAAATAGCTTTCAGGCGCTCCAAACGCTTCGCCTGCTCGCCCACATAGACGAGTATCTCTTCACCGGCATCCAAAATGAAACAATCGCCGCGATTCATCGACGTTATAGACAACGCCACCTGACGCACCCGCACATTGCGTTTACCCTTCACCTGGAAGAGACGCTTCTCGCCAGCAGCATTCACATCGACATGCTCGAAACCGGTAGCCACTCCGCCCTTCTCGTAGCGCACACCTACAAGCAATAATGCAAATTAATTAGACACGTCAATGGACTGAGCGCAACCCTTGCAGAGTCTGCTTGGGCACTCCCGCCACACACGACCATTAGCACGGAGGTGCGAACTGTGCGAGCGCTGTTGCCAATACTTCGTACATGGGTGTAGATGAATGGTGAAAAGTGCAATTTCGTAGAGTTTTTAATGCAACGCAATTTATATTTGCATTGAGTCGATGCTGAAAGCTGCCATTAACTGCCGTGGCAACTGGTCACCTGCCAACAGCTCACCGCTAACGGCCAAGAGCTCACAGCTGCGCAACGCATCCACCCACTAACCAACAACTGCAAACGCATGGCGCTGCGGAAGTTCGCGGGTGCCTCATTTGGTCGCGTGAAACTTTTTAATGCGTAATTTTCGCAAACGACAACTTACCATTTTTAAAGTAGCTGAGGAACAATTGTGATTCATGATCTTGAACTTCGCGATGCTGCACCGGTGCGCCATCCAGTTGGTCGTCCAGTTGCACGGTGCAAATGGCCGCTGCGCCCGCCTCGTCGGTGGTCGTCTCAGCGCCTAGCCAAAAGTGAATGTCCCACGAAAGTTTTTGGCTCTTCGGGTCTTCGGTCGTCTAAAGTGGGCGGCAGGTGTAAGGAGTTATGCGAAAATGAGTGTCAGTGGGAACAACAATAACGAACGTGTTTATAGTTAGTATGCAATGTGGTGTTTGGCAAATGCAAGAAAAATGACACCACCAAAGCATCGCTTCTTTGGTGAGCGTGTGCCTCGCTTACTTTGCTCGTGATTCTAAGACAAATTCTCACAAAACAAATTCAAAGTTTTTCTATTTTCTAAAGTGAAAAAGTATGTTCTTTGCGCCACCGACTTTGCGCCGGTGAGGAACACATATACTTTTATAATATTTCATGGCTTTTCTACGCTCTTCCATATGGCAGCAGCATGCATTTGCTCGGCAGGTCGGTCTCTAAGGTGTAAAGTCGTAAGTAAATTGTGCAAAATGAGTTTCCAATTGGAAAATGCAAGTTGGGTGCAACAATTTTGACATTACCGCAAATGAGCAAAGAAATACTGGCGATTCCTGAGAAACTAACTGCGCGCTTGCATTAGTTAAAGAGGGAGAGTCATGCCTGAAAATGCAATTCATTTAAGTTCAGTTGGTTTGAAATTTAATTTAAAGAGAGGAACAACTAATGCCGAAAAGCTTTTATAATTGAGCATAAGTTTGACAGGTTTTTGTTGTGAAAATGCAAATTTTTGACAAACTATTTATGAAAGCTCTAGTTTTGTATCCTGAAAGCTAATAGTATTATAATTATTATTCCATTTGCGGAATATTTCGGAATATTCTGCGGAAAAACGGAAACTTGGTCGGTACTGATATTTTAGACAAATTGAATTTAATATAGAAGCACATTTTATGGAAAGTTAAATTCATTTTATGCTCTTCTATTAAACAAGAGATGCCAGATGTAATCAATTTATTTCAGATCAAGTTAAAGAACTTATTATTTAAATGAAAGCCTTCCTTATTCAAAACTTGGCGAACGATGATTCGAACACTGGACTTACTACAACAAGCGTTTATAACCCTTTAGTGAGATATCCACATCTTCTTTTGTATTAAATGTATATAAATTTGTATGAAACTATTATAACTCACCTTTAAAATAATGTACGAATCTCCTTCGTAGAATTTTCCATAATATTTGGCTGGATACGGTACGGGCTCAAAATCCTGGAAATACAAAGAAAATGTAATACATAAAAATATCCATAATAATATTAACAAATATTTAAACAAGAAAAAAAGACAACTATTTATATTCTAAATCGATCTGACATATATATATGTTCGGAGATCTTAGCGGTGCCCGGGCCAAAAATATACATATGTCAAATTTCATGAAAATATCTCGTCAAATTGAAAAGTCTTTTGATTTTGATTTATATAGGTATGCTTATATGGCTGCTTAACACTAGAAAGACGGGAGCTTATTTATTCAAAATGACTTGCTTAGGCAATCTAGTGTTAAAGCATATAAGTGGTCCGATCTGACAATTTTTTTTTTTTTTTTTTTTTTTTTTTTTTTTTTTTTTTTNNAAAATGGTAGAATTTTTATAGAAACCAACAACAACCCACGTCAAATTTCATGAGAATATCTCATCACACGTGAATCCAAACATTTTGTTTTTTTAGCAACTACATTCTACTATAGAATCGATATACTGTATTGATGATTTTTAAAAATAATCAATGACGATCAACATATCTCCAAAATGGATGGATCTATCAAAGCGGCAGTCGGCAATTTTTTGGATGTTGCTTGTCAAATAAAATTCCGATTGCGGAAATAGATGCTGTAGAAGTGCAGGAGAAGATCAAAACATTGGCAAAAAAATGTCACTAGGTTATAACAGAATTAATGCATTTGCACATTAAGCGCTACCCGAAAACGTAATCAGCATGATTGTCAAGCTTTTTAACGAAATGCTTAGACTTTGTCATTTCCCAACCCAATGGAAATGTGCTGAGGTTAGTTTAATTCTTAAACCCGGAAACCTAAACATCTGATTAATTATTTTCGACTGTCTTACCAAATTTAACATTAGTATCAATACCGAAAAGTCCGTACAAGTAGTATATGTATAACCTCAAATACAAAAATTGTCCCCAAGTGGCTTTATGTGGTCTGTTGTTACCAACATGCAAATGCGCAAAATATTTTAAGAATACAATTGATAAGATGCGGCCTTGAAAAAATCACATAAAATTAAAAAGAAATCAGCTAAGATTAAAGTTGGCGCAGCTATACTGGCTCTTTAGGAATGGATCCCGCCTTAGTGTGAATAATAAATTGCTAATTTATGAGGCATAAGGCTTTGAAAATAATTCAAGCTTTTCAAAATAAAGTTCAGCGCACCATAGTGGCAGCTGCTTTCTACGTGGTACGTTGTCCTCCACCGGGATCTAAAGTTGTCAAAAGCATTGGTTGAACTGATCACGGAAATTTTCATACGTCCGTTTTAGCCATACTTGTCATGTAAAGATCGAAGGAATAAGATTTGTGGTAATATTTTTAAGCCACTCTGAGGCGTATATTTTTTCACAAGTATGGACTTTTGTCTGGGAAGCGTCTGTTCATCCATAGAATACAGTATAAGTCACAGATTATGAATTAATTTTTGTAATTTCTTATAATTTCTTTTATTAATTTATTAACTGAAAAGACAAAATATGCATTATTTCTAAGCTGCAAGTGGATATAATCACTTAAAGTTTAAGAAATCATATTCAAATAACCTTAAATACTAACAATATTACACAAATGAATAAATCAAAAATTAAAACAACAGAAATATTAATTTCACAAAATAGTAAAGTAAGCGCTCTTCAAGGGCTTAACATTTAAAAATACCTAAAGCATAAATGTCAGGTAATCAGTTAACACACTTCAATGGCTGTCTGTATAATTAATTATTATGCTGATGATTCGAGTGTCTGTAAAACCCGTCTCTCTTTATAAAAAGCGCTATATTTAAGCACAAACACAAGCAAAGTATATGCATGTACATTTGTATACATATATGTAATGACATGCTTTATATGTGTATGCGTAGCAGCATATATCCTATTTATTCCACATAATTTGCGAATGGCATACGGCTTATAAAACAATTTAAATGTATTTGCTCATCACAGCGCTGCTGGCGAAAAAATGGACAAGCTCAGACACGCATACACTCACCAAATGTGTGCAAAATCACACCGTTAAAGATATTAATTTGTTGTGCAGAAATTTATTTTGCATAAACAGCTTTTAATGTGTTTACATTCACATTTTTCCAATTCGCATAAAAACTTAAATTGAAAAAAGTAAATTAAATTTAAAATTAAATTTGCAGTGTTGTGATTTAATGCCAGCAGTTAGTAATGTTGAATAACTATTTGAAAATTGAAAATGATAAATCTACTATTGAAATTAAAACGATAAATCATTCAAAGCACTTATTTTGCGTGTGAATAAGCAGTGGTTTTTTTTATCTCTCAATATTTAGTGAGATGTTTGTGGTGATTAAAATATTATGGCGCATAATTCAAGCGTATTACTTGATTACTTAGTTCTTTAAATTTTTTCAAATACATGATTAAAGCAAAGCATGGATTTTCATTCAATTTGTCCTTTCATACAAATTATTACAATGGTGTGAAAAAAGGTTTAAAGTTTTAAATTGTATATGGAATTATATATTGGGACAAAAATGCATCCGGAAATTGTTATTAAATTCCCAGAGTAAATGATAAAAAACTATTTTGCTAGATTAGTAGGACTGACCTTAATTACCAAGTCAAATATGAGTATGAGAAGTGGCGAAATAAGTTTTTGTGTTACTCAAACGCTACTGAATTTTATAAACTTAAGATCTTGGTAATTGGAAAGTCAATAAACCACACTGCTTTAAAAACTTTCAGTGCCTCAGCGAGTACAAAAGCTCAAAATCAAACTGGATGCCGTGGGTTATTTTCAAAGAATAATTATCCGAATCATTCGTTTTTTAATTTAATTAATTTTTTTTTTTTACTTTAATTTAAAAGCATTTTTAAGGGATAAAAACTTGCCAATTAAAGGTCTTTTCCTAATTGTTAATACTCTCTCACATTTTTATGAAGCTATATGATCTATTTCAACTACCAGTAGAAGATGGGAAAAATTTGGCAATATTTATGTAATCAAACGTTACTCCCCTCATTCAACCAATAGATTATAATACAATACAAATCATAAAGGTGCACTGCAGCTGTCTAGCTAATACTAGATACTCGTGATGCTAGTGACGATATTACACAAAATTACGAATCCTACGAAGACCTTTTTCAGAGGCACCGGAAATGAATGAATGAAGAAGTTGAAACTTTCAACAAATCGGTTCAGTGGGCTACTCATGAAAGTGTCAATAAACTGATTTAAATGTACTGTGACTGTTAAGGGAGAAAACTGTATGTCAATTATTAGAAAAATGAAAAGAAGGAAAAAAGTTAACTGTCTTTTTAAGCAACAGTTTTCTCAAACTTATAATTCCTATTATGTCTCTTAATGAATACATATACTAAACAACAATAAAATGTCTGTTTAAATGTTTAAAAATATATTACATTATACGTTTTGGGTATCCGTAAACGTGAACATCTCTCAAATGGGAACTGTCTTAGTTTTAATTAATTCATATTTTCGAGCATGCGCTGTAATACTGATTTTATATAAGATATTTCATTAGTACTCCCATTTCTGGTTCTGGTTAGCATTTTAATTTTACTGCAAATAAAGATAATTTTAAATCTATTTTCCGGACCGAAATAAGCTTAAAATTGTGTCATTGACTGCTCAAGGGCGAAGGAGTTAAATGTAAGGCGGCTAATTCTTAAGCAATTACAAGAAAATCGTTTCCTACGGCTACACCGAAGCTATTATAGCAAAAATGGGTATAAAAAACGTTCATCATGATTCTGGTCGGTCAGTTTATATGGCAGTTATATGCTATAGTCGACTGATCTATATAGAATAGTCGAAGATTGTAGCAATACTTTGGATAATAACATTAGCCAAATTCCTTGACGATATCTTTTGTTAAATATAAAAGTTGTCCATACAAGGACTTGAGTTTAATCGGTTAATTTCTAGGGTAGCTATATGTTATAGTTACCCAATTTAAATCATTTATTCAAAGTTTGTGGATAATAATGCATGCCAGGTTTCGTAAACATATCCCATCAAACACAAAACTGTTCTTATCAAGGCCTTTGGCTTGATCAGCAGACAGCTCCGATATCGCAAACTTTCATATCACTATCTCAGGATAAACATTTATATAAAATTTCCATCACATCACTTATATAAATACGTTATATGGTCTTCGACGTTTCTTTTTGAGTGTTACAAACATCGTGTCAAACTTTAAATCCCTTCAGCGTATTCTATTTTAAATACAAATACCATTCTAACAATTCAATGTCTCATATATACATCAGTATGTCTACGAGTGATGCTACAATAATAAATATATTATACTTGTATGAACAAACTATAAAGCTGTAAACCACTGTAGGTTTTATTTAATTTAAATTGCTAATAATTTAATAAAAACTTTAAAGCTTTAATTTATCCAAAGAAAAAATGCCGGAGGTAGGAAAATGTATTACTTAAAGCCCAAATTAAAGTATACAATTGGGTAATAACATAATCTACGCAAAAGCAAATGTAAACGATATCATTTAACGGCGTTTGGCAGTGAGGTGAAAAAAAAGTATTTCACACATGAAAAATGTAAACTTAATACACAACAATTTAATGTATAGCATTGAAGTATTGAATTAAATATTGCAGTATTAAAGTTTGCTAAACGAAAAGGAATGAAATCATAACATCGAAACGTTTCACTTTAAGGCATACCACAATCTACTCAAGACTCCATAAACTCCAATGGCAATGTTCAAACTTGAGGTAAAGAAAGAACTAAATGTGAACAATAAAGTAATAAGCAATGGTGCTCCTTTTGGCTTAAGGGAATTTATACATTATGAGTATATTAATAGAAGAAATGGAAACTAACTCTCTGGTGACAGCAAGGTGACTCTCGCGAATGATTCCTTTCGGTACGTCAATTGAAACATCGATTTTAGATGGAAATATCATAGGTAAAATAAAAGATGATGAAAGGTTCATGCAATAGCGAGAAGTA